ACCCGAAAGAGGTCGTTCCCATTGAACAGGTTGAGGGGGTAGGCGAGGTTGTGCATGGCTCACGGACAAGGACTGTATTGTTCTTATTGATAATATCATGGAACGTCTTCATCAATGGTCACGAAGACACTTGAGCTACGCTGGTAGATTAGAGCTTATAAAAACTGTTCTGTTAAGCATCACAAATTTCTGGTGTAGGTAGTTAATCCTACCCCAATCTGTTCTAAACATAATTGAGCAACTATGTTCACGTTTCTTTTGGAAAGGTTCGGACAAGGCAGCTTTGGGAGCTAGAGTGAGCTGGAAAAAACTATGTCTTCTTAAATCAGAAGGGGGTTTAGGACTTAAAGATATAAAATCATGGAACAAAGCTTGTATGATGCATTTAATTCGGAAGGTGCTTGCGGGTGAAGGTTCTTTATGGATAGCCTGGATTAATAGTTATATCATTAAAAATTCTGATTTTTGGGACATGGAAATTGATCTTAATATGAGCTGGAGCTTCTGAAGCTTGCTTAAAATGAGGCATCAAGCTTCGACTATTCTGTCCATGGGAGCTGCTACTATAAAAGATATTTGGCTTTAAATCAGAAACAGGGAGGAGAAAATAAAATGGCACAAGTTAATATGGTTCCCACTCCATATCCCAAAATTTAGCATTATTACTTGGATGGCTTTGTTAAATAGACTTCCAACTAAAGATAGATTGCTTGGAATGGGATTTGAAATTGATAATACATGTGTGCTTTGCAATGTCTCTTTGGAATCTAGGGATCACTTATTTCTCCATTGTCCTTTGTCTAGCTCACTGTGGGATGCGATTTTTCACCTAAATGGAATTAGAAGAAGACCATGCTCTTGGGAAGAACACATATCTTGGGCATGTGCTACATGGAAAGGTAAATCTCTACTAGTTACTATCTTGAAGCTTGCTTGGACATCTTTTACCTATACTATATGGGAAGAGAGGAACAAAAGGTTATTTACAGGTTGCTCAAGATCTTTTGAAGCTATGTTCAACTACATTAAAGATACCATTTCAATCAAATTACGGGGTAGAAACATCAATAGGATTGATAGTATCAATATCACACTTTGTAATAAATGGGGTATTACTTATTGAAGTTGTTTTGCTGTAACTTTGATTGTAATTTCTGGATACTCATCAGTATAATGGATATAAAAGTGCTCCAAGTTTGTCATGAGGCGGTGATAGAGAGTGGAACAAAGGAATACTCGCAGGCTTTATGGGACTTGAAGATTCCAAATAGCTTTCCATTTGCTATCGACGGGGTTCCATGAAGATGAGGCTAAAGCGTCATAGGCGGAAGAAACAAGAAAGAAATATTGCGGCCCCCAACGCCAGATGCAACGGTCTTTTTCATTTGGGTCACAAGACGACAAAATACCAATGATGTGATCGATTGCAAAGCTAGAGAGAAAGGAGGAAAATAATGTAAAATTTCAGCTTCTATCATTGGTAGTCAAATCAACAATAGTGTGGTGGGGAACAATCTAATTATAAGAGCTAAGATGGTCACACAAGGGTCCGAGGGATGGAACTCAAACATCGTCCCAAGCGTTTAGGTGTTCTCCATTTCCCACCAGCCAAGCAATATTAGGCCAAAAATCATCCCAAAGTTTGGCAAGGGAATTCCAAAAAGAAGAACAGACTAATATTTGAATGGAGACATGGAAGAGATCAGTGACCTTATATTTTTAACGCATGAGTCGAATCCAATAAGCATCTGACTTGCTTATTAAGTCGAAGCAGACTTTCATTAAAAGCACCTTGTTTTACTAGCGAATACCAAGACCGTCGCACTCATTTAGTTGACATAGATTTTTCAAATTGATTAGAGAGAAATTTGAGCATGCTCCAAAATTACCCCATATGAAGTGACAAATTAGTTGTTCAATCGAATTACACACCCCGACCGAAAGGAGAGCGGTTTGCATGAAATAAATCGATATGGATGCCAGAACCGATTTAGCCAAGGTGATCTAGCCTGCTGTGTAAAGACACTGAGAAGCCCATCCATTTAATAATGCATGTATTTTCTCCAAAATAAAACCATAGTCAGAACGAGTGGTCTTGCGATGTTGAATCGACACTCATAAGTATTTACCAAGTTCAGGCATACAACGAAAATCCAAGCGATTACATATTGTTTCTTGCAAAGACATGCTCGTGGAGGGGGAGAAGTATATGATAGACTTTTGTTTGTTGACTTTTATATTCAGAATAGATACCAAAGCAGTCCAAGGCTAAATTTATCACATCGGCATTATGAACATCAACACGAGCATAAATGATCAAGTCTCCACAAAAAAACAAGTGTAAGAAGAGTAGGCCATTGCGCACAAAATAGAATGACTCCCAAATTTTCTTTGCAATGTTATCCACAATGCAGTGGCCTAGACGCTCCATGGCCAGGACAAACAGGTACGGAGAAAGGGAGTCCCCTTGGCGAACACCACACTCAGGCCAAAAAGACTCAGTGAGAGTACCATTCCACTACACCTGAAAAGAGGAAGAGGTGATGCAATGCATGATAACTTGAAGTAAACGAGGAGGAAACCCAACATCAAACAAAGAATCACGTATAAAGTCCTATTGAAGTCTATTGAAAGCATTCTCTAAGTTAAATTTTAGAGTCATCCAGTCTCCCTTAGATTTTGAGTGTCGCATAGAGTGGATAACCTCTTGGTTCAAGATGATGTTCTCAGTTATAGAACGGCCATATATGAAACTTATTTGGTTCGAACGAACAAGTTGGGGCATGATAGGCTTCAAGCGTCGAACAATAACCTTAGTCAGGAGTTTGTAAACTACCGTAAGAGACTGATTGGTCTAAAATCCGTAAAGGTTTTCGAGTTCTCAACCTTCGGGATGAGGACAATGGTAGTCTTATTGAGATTAGCTTCTAAATCACCTCCTTGGAAGATAGACTTTATACAATTGCAAACCATCGTGTCTCGGAGCTTTGAGTGGGTCATATCTTTAAGAGCCTTATGAATTTTCCTCGGAAGAAGGAACTGCGTCGAGGCCAAACTATTGATCAGACAACAGGTTAGAAAAACAACCTGAAATGGGAAATGTATCGCGCTATAGACCATTAATTGAGAACAAGGATTTAAAATGCTTGACCGCAGCAGTATGAAGGGTTTATTGATCATCAGACCAGTTATTGTCCACTTTCAGAGCTAAGATACGATTTTGCTGCTTGCGAGCTTTTGGCTTACGATGAAAATAAGAAGTGTTCCAATGTCCAAAGAAAATCCAATCAAACCGATATCACTGCTTCCAGAGAATTTCCTCCTGATCAAGTAAAGATTCAAACTCACTGAGAATGGATGTTTCCAATTTTCTAAGGGAGACAGAGGGGCGAGCATGGAGGGCTTGTTGTGTTCCCTGTAGCCTGGCCATCATTATTCTTTTTTTGGACCTAATATATCTAAAACCAAATTTATTCCATACATCGGCTGCTTTTGAGAATTGAGCAATATAGTTAGATAGACACCCAGTGTCCACTCAATTATCGCTCACCATACGACTGGAGTCGTCGTGAAGCTGCCACCTTATGAAATACTGAAATTATTTAGAACTATTGTGCTTCAGAAATCCCCCCTCCCCACTTGGAGCAAGATAGGCTTATGATCAGAACGAATTCAGATGAGGTGGTACACTACGGATTCAAGACAAAACTCATCCTAATAGCTGTTATACAAGACACGGTCTAGACGTGAATGGGTGAAACCTCTAGTCCAGGTGAAGGCAGTACCCTAAAACCCCATATCACGAAGATCAAGATTAATGAGAAGGTTCTGAAAATCTCTGCAAGGGGTGTGGAAGCACCTCTTCCCATATACTTGGATGAAGAAAATGTGGCATTGAAATTACCTGAAAGAATACATGGCTCTATAATAGAGCAAGATATGTTGTGAAGATGAGCCCATAATGTCTTTCTTTTAGAACTATTCCGACTAATGTATACAATTGTTGTGAGGAAAACTTTGTTGTCTCTTTTCAGTGTGATGCGGCAGTGAATAGGTTGGAAATAATTATTGAGAATGTCAACAGAGATTGTGTCATACAACACAACCAAATACCTCTCGAGAATCCAACTGCTTCAACATGGTAGGAATTGGGAAACCCCAGGGTTACAATAACATAGTCTACTTTAGAGCCACTGATATAGGGTTCAACAAAACCAATAATATCATGCTTGTGATCTCTAAGAAACTGCTTGACAACTATCAGAAAACGGAGGTGGCCACATCCTTGAACATTCCAACAAAAAATTTTAAAATTCATAATTAATAAGTATGGAGAGAGTAGGAATAAACTCAAACAACCGTCGTGTGGTTATTCCCACTCACAGACGTGTCAGCATCAACGATTTCCATTGAGTTAACATGGGGACTCGACTGTTGATTGACAGAAATGGGGAGAGACCGAGAGGGTTGACTCGGGTCTGGTGGATCATTCGAAGCTGCTTCCTCCATTGGGGCATCATAAGTAGTGAAATTGGATGCAGGCATGGGGATATTAGGATTGGAATTTTCTAAAATTGTGATCGAAGTGTGTTTCATAAGATCAAGGGTGACCGACTTCCGGGTGGGATCAGAGATGATGCCATGTTTTTTAAGAGGATAGGCTCAGATGGAGGATACAGATGTAAGGTGGGTGGTGGGATTTACGGGAGCAATTGTAACCGATTTGTTTACAGAAAAAATACCTGTGGGTTTACTTATTTTGTTTGGCTTGGAAACCTTGTCTTTTTCTCTTGTCTTGGGGCGCAATAGAATAGGATCAGTCGCGTGGGAGGTAGTGACAACCAAATGAGTATTTCGATCCACATCATTTTTTCCAAGAGAACCATCATCGTGTGAGGCAATAGGAATAAATGAGAGCCCAAAACAGTCACATTTTTGTTTTAACCCGCCTGATCAGACACCTTATTGGGAGGTTTACGCTGTTTTCTTTCAATAAGCATCTAGGAGCCGTATGAAGGCTCCATTTCAGCAGCGGGAGTATGAGATTCGATGGTGTCCATGGTGGTATCTTGGGGTGTAGAAACTGAGACCTTTGTGAAAGAATTCGAAGCATGACCATAGATGTCGCATTTGAAATAGACGGCAGACAGAGATTCGTATTCAACCAGCTGAATTTGGTCGTTTATAACTAGTTTAGAAATCAATTGTTTATTAAGATCAACACGGATGACCATCTGAGCAAATTGGCCCTTCGACCAGAATTTGTTTAGTAGTCAATCTTGATTACCGGACCAATGCATTCACCAATCTCAGTGATGATATTGCGCTTATAGAGAGTGCCTGACAAACCAGGTAGGCGGATCCATGTTATAACCTTGCTCGGATGCCTTTGCGTGGTCGAGAAATCTTTAGTCCAGGGTTCAACTTTCAAATAGTGTCCGTAAACGAGCCAAGGTCCCTCATATAGGACTTTTAGGTAGCATTATGGCAACAGAAAGTAACAAGAAACTAATCAATCTCAATGTCCATGATACACGATACCTGCGTAGGCTTCCACAGATCATAGATGCGATTTCGCAAAACGTTATAGCCAATGCGCTGCCCTAGAAGCTTGACGACAATCGTTTGACTAAGGCTTTTGACAGCTAGATTATAAACCCTATCAGAGAAGTCAATCAATAGGAGTTCGTCAATCATACCACGTTTGACGTCACTTTCAAATATTTCGATATCGTCTTCGCCTATGTCTTCATCATCAGTAAAAGCAGGGAGGGTTGTATCAGCCATTAGCCTATCACGATATGAGGCAGGTATCGAATGCAATCCAAGCAGAGTAATATCAGGATCTGATCCAACAGGGGGCATCAGGTGACTTATCATAGTGATGAAGCGACTTTTTGTTGGCATTATCATCAGAATCAGCCAGGATGGGGTTTGGGTTTTGCTTGTCGACGATGGGAAGGGGCTCGCGAAAGAAGGGGTTTCAGTGATCATGCTAGGGTTTTCAGAAGATAGTATAAATCTTGATAATTCAGGTTTGTGTTAGGTCATATCAATTTTAGGGTGAAAATTTTGATTTGATGTGACATAATATAATATTATAATTATTCTTTATATATTTAAATATAATTACAATAATGTTTTTTTTATTATCTTTTCAATTATCCCTTATTTTTCCTAATAAAAATGAATATATATATATATATATATAGGTTGGATTAGGTTGGGATAGGCGATGGTTTTGACATAAACAATCAAGTGGGGTTGGGTGCGACAAAAGGGGTCTAATTTTCGATTGGATTTGAGTAGGCTAAAATCTCATTCCGACCAATTGTCATTCTTAGGTTGGACAAATTATCTCTAAACTTGAACCCTACAGAAAAATTTAAATTTTAATTAATTAAATTTAAAACATATGAATTTTATAAAAAAATATTATCAAATCAGATCATATCCAGTTAGAACTCATCGAATATATATTTTCATCCCTAATCATGTAATTTTCAATTAAGGACAATTAACTTTGGAGGGAAATAAAATAAAATTTTAATGTGAAAAATCATTTTTAATTGAAAAAAGTAAAACGTACACATAATTTAGTGACTATTTGTGTAATTTATTCATTTTGAATTGTTTTCTTCGTGTTAGCTTTACAAAATTAAAAATAAAATAGGAGAGACCAAAGAGAGACCGGTTGGTAGGTAATCGTGTTCTTCGTTATTCAGCGACACCGTCTCCTTTTGGTAAAGACAGCACCATTTTTTCCGCCCCTTTGTTTCCCTATATCTCTTGTTTCATGCAATTTCAGATTGTTCTGATTATAACCTAATCGTGATTCATCTTCACTTTTTTTTCCAATTGATTGATTTCCTTTCTTTCCTACTTCAATCGGTAAGTTCCATTATTTTCCTCCTCTGTTTAGAATTCTAGGGTTCAGATCTCTACAAAATACGATATATTTTCTTTACCGATCGATCATAGAAACATTTAGTGTTGTTCTAAATGGCTAGTGAGGCCGACGAGGAAGCCGATGCGGTGCTCAGCGATGTGGAGTCCGATGAGCCGGTACGATCGTTATAAAAGATCCATCTCAAGGGGATGTATCGGCGGAGAAATTCCTCGAAATTCTCGCGGAGCTTGACCGCGAGAAACAAGCACGGCAAGCGGTGGAGAATTCGAAATCAGAACTTCAAGTTTCATTTAATCGGTTATAAGCTTTGTCTCACGAGGGGATTAAGAAGCGAGATGAGTGTGGGAGACAACGAGATGAAGCTCTCCTCGAGAAAGAAGAAGCTTTGAAATCGAACGAGAGCTTAACGGCGCAATTAGCCGAAGCTAATAAGATTAAAGATGATGTTACAAAACAGAGAGAAGATTTAGCGAAGCAATTGGAGGAAGCGTCCAAGGGAAAAGATGGATTGCGATCGGAGATCGAGACCTCTGCACATATGCTTGTCTCAGGTATCGAAAAAATATCTGGAAAAGTTAATAATTTCAGAAACTTCTCCGCCGGAGGATTGCGACGATCGCAAAGTACACTGGTTTCCCCTCTGTTGCTTACGTAGTAATCAAAAAGAACAAATGAGATGGTTGAAGAGCTGTTAAACAGATCGAAACCACAACCAAATCTAGAAATGAAGCGAGAGAACAGATAGAGCAACGAAATTACGAAATTGCCATTAAAGTTTCACAACTTGAAGCTACAATAAGTGGATTACGTGAAGAAGTGGCAAAGAAAACTAATATAATTGAAAATTTAGAGAAGAGTATAGCTGAAAAGGATGTGAAGATTGGGGAGATTGAAAAAGAGATGTTGGACAAGATTAATTTTGCAGAGGATGAATTAATGGAGTTGAGGAACTTGACCATTGAATATGATGATAAATTGAAAGTTTTGCAAACGAAGATGGAGTTACAGAGGCCGTTACTGGTAGATCAGTTGAATTTGTTTCTAGTATTCACGAATGATTATGTTGTTATTAATGGATCAATCAGATGTATCAGTCTTTTTTTCTTCCACAAGAGACGGGTTCAGAGGAAAATAAATCGCTTGTTTGGCAGGGATGGAGTCTATCTACGAATTAACAGGAATACTTGCTGGGAAAACAAAGGACTTAGTTGAGGAAAAGAATTGTGATGTAAAGAGTTTGAATGAAACAGTAGCTCGTTTGATTAAGGAGAAAGAACATATTGGCTCTTTACTTAGGAGTTAGGAGTGCGTTGTCCAGGAGGATGGTATCTGAAAATAAGTCCGAAACCAATGAATTATTTCAAACCGCTGAAAATGGTTTGAGAGAGGCTGGAATCGACTACAAATTTGGTAAAATTATCGATGATGGAAATAAAGCTGAAGATCTGGACTCAAACCGGGATGAAATATACACACTGGTGAGATTTTTATCTGTTGCCATTGATTTGTTACATGTGCTCTTTAAGTTTGCGTAGTGTTTCAAGGCCTTGTCTTTCCTGTTGAAAATCTATATAGTGTCAGGCTGGTGCTTTGGAGAATATTGTCAAAACATCTCAGCTTGATATCATTGAACTACAGCATTATGTGGAGGAATTAAGGTACCTGTTATTTTGGACTCATGAAATTACATATAGTGATCTGTAAATCCTGCTTTTGTATGGAATGATTGAAGGAACATTTGGAGTGGAAAAAGTTAGTTTAACATACATTTTTTCTGCATGAACTGACCTGCATACTGTTTTAATTTATTAAGGGCAGAGTCGAGTGTACTTAAAGAACATGTGGAGGCTCAAGCCAAGGAGCTCAACCACAGAATGCATTGTATAGAGGAGCTTGATGAGAAGGAGAGATTAGCAAATGAAAGTGTATGTTAACATTGGTTTTTCTGACAATCAACTGGCTTAATGTCGGTTCCCATTTTCTCAGAGTACACTTTTCAGATTCTTAGGTTGATTTTAAGGCTTAGAAGCGAGTAAGTTGCATTCATGCTTCTTTTTGTACATATAATACTGACTTAACTGATTCATGTGAAGGTTGAAGTACTTATGATGGACATTGCTGCTGCAGAGCAAGAAATTGCAAGATGGAAGTCAGCAGCTGAGCAGGAAGCTGTTGCGGGAAGAGCTGTAGAACAAGAGTTCTTAGCTCAGGTATGTTCGCTAAGAAGCTCCAGGTCTTTTAATAGATACTATGTATATGGTTTTGTGAACAGTTATTAAAGATGATCCAGGTCTTTTGATAGATAGTATATATCTGGTTTTGTGAAACTATTAAAGGTCTTTGTAGTGGCAGTTTTGTGTAATTATCATCTTGCTCTGCCAGATTGGTATTTACAATTTAGCCTAGAATCTGCAGTTGTTTGAATCTTAATACATAACAGATAGACAAGAACAAAAGCAAATAATGTTAAAAGAATAATATGCCGCTATAATAGAACTATATAGTCTAATATAGTAACACCAAGCATGTTTGGATTGTAAAATGAGATTAAAACAGAATTTCCCGTTTCCATATTTGGGAGGGAGACACTTGTTTGCTGGATATAGAGTCGGTGACAATACATTTGGATAAAGTTGTATAACATTTCCGTAGGGCATAAGCTGGAGAAACTAAACCCCCATCAACCCCACCCCCTACCCCACAAAAAATAAACCTCAAAATGAGATTTTTTTCTGTTTCTTTCGAGGATGTTTTTTCTTAATAATTATTAAATCAAACTACCTGATGACTTATTGCACTTCAGGAAATAGCTTATATATATATTTTCTAATCCTTTGAACAAAGATGGTATTATGAAAACATGGATGTCAAGCATGTCCATTGAAATATAGGATTAGAATTGGTGAACAGATCTAGGTTTTAGTATATATATTGTGAGTATGTGAGAAGTAGTTATATAAATTAACTTATTTCTTCTTTTATTCATTTAAAATTTGACCAAAGTTTTGGGAATGGTTTAAATGCTGGTACTTTTTTAGTGTACCATGTTCGGCTGTTCAATATATCATGCACAGCATGTAGTTGAGCTCAGGGTTTCAAATTGCATACCAAAAATGCGATAGCGGCGTGATATTGCGTAGCGCTGTCGTCCGAACCGGTTTTCATGATTTTTGCGATGGGTAACAGATTCACACAATAGCGGTATGTCGCGTCCGTAATTTAACGGATAACGGTGGATTGCGCCGATCACGGGACGCTATAAGCGTTATTCCAATCGTGATTTCAATTTCTAACCGCAATTATTTTTTTGTTTACAAAAATGAAAGGTCGACGGAGGAGGAAGGGGGAGGAGAGTTGAGAGTGAAGCAATTTTTTTTTTCAGATAATGAAATCGGGGGAGGAGAGGGGAGGCAGAAAGGTCTGGGAAGGGGAGGGGTTTTTTATTTATTTTTTTAAATATAATTTTTAAAATATAATTTTAAATGATATATTAATTTGACATCCCTCTTACTTTTAGAATTTATAATTTAATCTCAAATTTAAAATGTAAACTTTAATTTTTATTTAATTTAGTCTTAATTTCTGTAATATATTTCTACAATTTAAATTTTAATTTTATTTTAATTATATTTAATTTAGTCATTTAGGGTAAGTTGTGTAATATTTAAAAAATTCAAGACCGCGATATCCGCAATGGCATCCGTTATGTCCGCAACCGTGATAAAAACGACGCGATCGAGAACGTTATTTAAAACCCTGGTTGTGCTAGTTATTTGATTTCATGATGCTTTGATGTTTGTAAGGCTTTTAACCTTGTGGTCGTGGGATCGAGTCTCACGGTGGGTAATTCATAATTCTAACTGCCGGAGGTCTCTCACGGAAGCTGCTCTCAACTTGGTGTTAGGGGTAGCCTATTATCCTACCTCCTCCTTATCCCATTATATATTATCCCATTGCATATGGAATAGGGTCAGTTAATTTTTATCTTATTATTTTTCTAATTACTGAATATCCTGAACTTACTCCTAAACATCATGGTTTAATAAATATCCGCAGTTATCAGCAGTTAAACTGGAGCTTGAAGAGGCAAAGCAAGCTATGTTGGAATCAGAGAAGAAGCTAAAATTCAAAGAAGAAACTGCTGCCGCCGCCATGGAAGCAAGAGATACAGCTGAGAAATCATTGAGGCTGGTAGATATGAGGGCAACCAGGCTGAGGAAAGAGTAGAGGAGCTTAGCCGTCAGCTAGAGTTTGAGAGAAGACTCGAGGGGTCGAAATCGACCGAGATTGTTTGTTGGCCATGGCAGTGCTTGGGCAGGATTTTTTAGGGTTTCGTAATCCAGAAACACTACAACAGAGTTCAAATTAAGCTTTCTGAACCGCTTTCAAAACCGCTTTCTGAGCCACTCCTCTGATAGTCAGATTATACTTCTACTCTGGTTTTGTGTCAATCAATTCATAGTAACTTCATTCTTCTAAGCCCCTTCGTTTTTAATGATTTTGTCAGCTTTATAATTCTGACATGGCAATGGCATGCTAGAGTTGAATCTTTCTTGCTCATACTTCTATGGCAACTAATCTTTCTAATCAAACTCATCTACATGTCACTGTCTTGGTTTCCTTTTAAAATATGTTTTCTCCTTGATATCATTGTTGGATACCCATTTTCTTTTCTTTCCCCCTCTTTTATCCTTTCTTCATTTCAAGGCTTTGATCATTGTTGAAAGATAAATTGTTACTGTTCATTCAAACCACTTGAACAGGTGAGGAAGAGCAACCGATTAACTCAGTCGCCATAGCTGTTTTCTTGTGTAGCAAGTAGAAAGTGGACTTGTGCTTTGAAAATAATAGTTTGGGTGACAAAAACAGAATGAAAATGATTGTTTAAAATAATAATGATAAGCGAAAAATATGGATAAGAAAGTGGTGAATTTTGGAATACCGAAAAAGACAAGATTCTGAACACATCCATCCCTACCGTCCAAAACGTAGAAGTCAAACAATATATGGTTCCTCCTAGGGATGGGCAATAGTCGGGACTTCCACCTAACATAATCACATATTCGAATAATATCCTTCGCTCTTATTGGTCCGTGAATATAACTTCCCTTATTGCGCGTTTAACATACTATAACTCCACCCCCTTCGTTCGCATAAAACACATTTGGCTTGAAATGCTTGATTTACTTACTAGAATTTCCTCGCACCCACTCCAAAAGAAAGAAAAGGAGAAAACTGTAACCCGCTTTAACTTCTTCGCATGCAGTCGGAGCTCCGGCTCCCTTAACGGAGCCCTGCTCAGTTATCCAAATTTTAACTCCCTTTTAGATCACTGTCCTACTTTTTTTTTAATCAGATCTCAACCGAACAAAATAAATAAAACCAAGAAAAATACGAGGAAATTATTTATAGTTCTTCGAAAATGTCGAAACCCTGGGGTGGCAGAGGCTCGTGGGCCGCCGAGGCCGAGCAAGAAGAGGCGGAGGAGCGTAAAGCTATGGAAGCCGCGGCCGCTGCTGAGCCCACGGCTGAATCGCAGAGTTTTCCTAGCCTAAAAGAAGCTGTTAGCACGAAGCCGAGGAAGAAGAAATTTACTCTCTCGGAGTTCAACACGGGATTTATTCATCATCCGGAGGCGGCGGCGAGTCGGTGTGGGTGCTAGGGTCGGATTACAACAAGCTGACACCTGACGAGATGATGCTCCTTCCGACCCGACCCAAAGAGCGTACCGCTGAGGAATGCAGTACGGCCGTCTGGGAGGAGGATTTTCGTCTTATGGTAGGTCCGGTCCATCTGCGGGTCGGGGTATGCGTGAACGTGACGGCAGCGACGGGTCATGGGGATCCGGAAGAAGGCCGTACGGAGGTTTTGATGAAGAACGACGTGGTCCGCCTTCTAGGGTATCTGATTACGATCAGCCATCGCGTGCTGATGAGGTGGATAATTGGGCAATGGCTAAGAAAACAGCTCCTTCCTTTGATTCGAGCCGGCAAAACCGATATGGTGGACTTGGAACTGGGGGAGGTGGTGGAAACTCTAAGGCTGACGAGGTTGATAATTGGACGGCTGGAAAACAGTCAATTCCGGCTCGAGCTTCAACATTTGGTTCAGGTTTTCGCGACACTGGGCCTGAGCCTGATAGATGGACCCGAAGTGGTGGTGGATTCAGAGAGGAAAGACCTAGATTAGTTTTGAATCCTCCAAGAGGGGAAGTGAATGAGCCATCCGTTAAGACGATTAAGCCTAATCCTTTTGGGGCAGCGAGGCCTAGGGAAGAGGTGTTAATGGAGAAAGGATTGGATTGGAAGAAACTAGATTCTGATATTGAATCAAAGAAGGTAACTAGCAGGCCTACCAGCTCTCACTCGAGCAGGCCATCAAGTGCACAATCCAGCAGGTCTGAAGGTCCCCAGCTGCAAGGAATTGAAAATGTAGTTAAGCCAAGGCCGAAGGTCAATCCTTTTGGAGATGCTAAGCCTAGAGAAGTTTTGCTGGAAGAGCGTGGAAAGGATTGGCGGAAGATTGATCTCGAGTTAGAGCGTCGTTGGCTGGACAGGTTTCCATGTCGTTTCTCTAATCATTTTACTCATAATTTAATTTCGAAATAGTTTTTATGTGGTTTTGGTTGAATTGATTTTGATCAGTTTCCTTTAATGCTGTTGGTACTTGGTAATGAGGTTCGGATTTACTTAAGCTTTTAGCATATTTGATTGGTTAAATTGCCTTGGCTGTTACCACTTGCTTCCATTTCCGATTGTTTATTACTCTCTAATTAGTGGGTATACTATTACTATGTTGTCTATTAGATGAGAAAGACATTTGTTACTAGGACTTTGGAATTGATGTAGGACAGTTCAAATCTCATATGATAAGTTTGAGTAGACCTTAGGTTTATTGAATGATGTTGCACAATTATTTCTTTGAACCCATAAAATCATAGTTCAGGATCAGCTTATTGTCATGAATTCAATCTGGCATGTGATATCTCTGGTGCCCTAACATTCCGTGTCTATTCTCTGAAGGGTTTGAATATCCCCTACCAGATTAAGTGGCTAAAGTCTTTGATATTGGAGCATAGGGCTCCACGTTAGAACTAGTTTTGGATTATATATGAGTTCCCAAAAGATGTGCCCTTCTCAAAGTTTGAGCAGCTTTTTCATGCATTAAATTTACATGTAAACTTGTCTCCTTAAAATTGTTTCATTTATGAAAATGTTGCTTGCTCCAGCATGAATGAAATAATCTCCGTTACCATAAGTCTAGGGGCTTGTTGAATCTGGGGATGCCTCTTTTTTTTCTTTTTCTTGACAGCAAAGCTTAGTTAGCTCTATCTATGTTCCCAAATTTGCTTACGATTATCATATAGAAAATGTAATTCAATGTAGTTTTTAGTTTGTTATCTCTGTCACTTGATTACTTTCCAGTGCAGGAGATTAGCAAAAATACACTATCCTTAACATTGTTCATAAGTAGTTTGTGTAGGTAGCATATGCACCAGTAGTCATATAGGAAACAGTTTCCAGCTAACTTTTTTTTTTTTTGATAGGAATAAAAGGCCTCAATAAACCCCCTTGGTGGTTAACGGAACTTAAAAACAGTTCCTTAATCCACACAAGGAGGAAGGATGCCTAGGATTCAATAAACTCAAATATAACAAAGTAATACAAACCATCTCCCTCAAGAGATATAAACCAAAAGAAACAGCCCTTAACAGCATAATTCAACCAATACCCGCCTTAGCTAGGACATCCGCCTCTATATTGGCTGTCCTACTAACCCAACTAATAAAACCTTCAAAAACACTAAGCTTTTGAATAATGTCTTTAACTATTTGAACATAAACAACAGGACAAGAGACCACATCCTACTAACCCAGCTAACTAATTTTCTCTTCAGTCAAAATATACATGATTATCTTGCTACACTATCCTCCCATCCTGGGATTTTATTCGAGCACTCTGGCAGGCTTCTATGTTTATTTAAGGTTCTTGAAGTTCTCATTTATTTTAGCTCGAGTCTTTTTTACCATCATTCCTCTAATTTCGACCTTGTTCCTTTGTGCATCTTAAACCTTTGGTGATATTTGGATTTATGTTCTTCTGTTTAGTCTTGTTTCTCTTTGGGTTACTTTGTTCCATCATCCTTTTTCTCCATTTCCAGATTATTAAGGAAAATAATTGTTACTGCTCTTTCAACTTCCTTTCCGATTTTCCATTTTTCCTTGTAATAAAATGCTTTGTTGTATTTATGTGATTCATTGTGATTTCCTGTGCAAGGTTGGCATCTAGATTGTTTCAGATACCCCGACTGTTCTTTTTGCTTGCACTTAATTGTGTCTCAATTCCATTTTGATCCTTTCTTGCTCACAATCAACCCTCGAATATATTGCCCATACCATCATGTTCATTTCTAATGAAAACTGTTTCAGGCTCGAAACAGAGGAGGAAAAGATATTGAGAAATAGATAATCTAAAGAAGGAGCTCCAGAAAGATTCAACTCCAGATTCAGGATCTCTGGGACCTGCCCACTTTACATGAAGCACTACATCAAGAAAGAGAACTAGAGAAACTTATCCGAGATATGGAACAAAGTTAGTTTGGGCAGAAAAGCTAGCGAAAGGCCTGGTTCTGGATCTGGTAAAGTGGCAGCTTCTCTGTGACCACCCTCTCAGTCTGGGTCTGGTGATGGCTTTAGAAATACAGAGTTCTGAATAGGCTAGTTCTCGTGGTTCTGTAGTAGAGGCATGGTCAAGACCTGCTGATGACCGAAGAGGATTTCAGGGAGGATATAAAGGTGGCAGGGATAGAGGATTTCTGGGAAACAGAGATTTGGATGGTAAGGATTAAAATGTTACCGGTTAATCTCTTTCCACTTTATGATAAATATAGAATAATTTACAAGTTTTTGGAGAATGATTGGCATCTAAGTCTTCTTTCATGCAGACCTGAAACCTTCTTTACTGAGACTTACAACTGAGCAAATTCATAAGGGTCTTAGGCTATAATTTCTTATCCCTGTGTAAACTGATACATTCTGATGAATTGAATATTTACTGTTGCTTTCTGTTATCCCACATCATCTTATATTGGCTTATGTGCTCTCCATATCCAATATTTGGCTAAAGATTGATATTGTAATTTTAGATTGATATGGCTAATGGAAATGTTACTGTTTTGTATATGGCAGGCCAAGGTCAAGGAGAGATGGTGAGCCCTGGAATTGGCGTTGTTTTGTTAAATTATGTCCTCAACTTTTGACAACCCGAACCAATATATTTTGTCGAACGGCGTCTGTTTTAGTCGTCGGCTTCTTTTTGTCTCTGGCAAGTGGAGCAATGATTCTTCAGGAACACTGAAGTCTGGGATATCTAGTGTTACATCTTTGAAACTATGTAAAATGGCCTCCCCACTACTTTTTTTTTTTGTTAACACTTATTTTGACTCCAGTTTTTATTAAACAAGCAACGTGGGATTCAGTTCATTGTTAAGTTTCCTTTTGAAATTTTACGGATATTGTTGTTGAGGTCTAGGGTAGATGGAACTATCTGTTTCTTTTTGAAGGCAAAACGAATTAGTTTTAAACTATAATCTTCATCTAAAAGCCGTAAACAACTCTAAGATGCTACAAAACGAGATCTACCTTGATCTTAAAGGATGAAAGAAAATAAATTATTTAGATGACAATAGAGGAGTATTTGGGTGATAGTGACAGAAAAGTTGAGAGCATTTGAGAACTCTTAGAAAATGCGAAAACAAGGTGGTTATGATTTGTTTTAATAAAGAGTACGTAAAAGTTATTTAGAGGAATATTCCATTTATCTCGTATACTATGGATAAAAATATGTAAAATATATTTTAAAAAAATTCAATCAAGTAGTTTTCAGATATATTATAAAGTTTAATTATTTAAAATAATTATGGTCAAAGTTTAAAATGTGACCTTTAAAAATATAATAAGAGACATTTTTTATGATACGGAGAGTAAAATATATAATATTAATATTAAAAATAGAGTAATTAATTTATTTAAATGGTAAATTTGAGTTTATAAATTTGATATTCAATCTTGCATGAACCAACCTTATTTAGTGGTTAAAGGAATCATTATTGTTCCTAAGGGTCATGGGTTTGAGAACAACAACTGCAACAGGATGATTGAGCGTTCATTGTCAAATAATTGAGAATGTTTAGAACAAATTACTTTGTAATCACCTTGTTTAATGAAAAAAATTGATCATCTTTTCAAATGATTGAGAATATTTTTAATTTTACACTTTACCTTATAAAATATAAATTTTGAAAAATCAATTTTTTCAGAACTTGATGCAATTATTATCCGAACCATCCAATTCTACTAACTTGATTTTCATGACGTTATATTATGCTTTCCCATACGTTATATTACCTTATAGAATACAACAATTACTGAAGTCTCAGGCCTAAACTCACTACTGCAGTCTCAGTTAGGGATGAGAATGGGTCGGTTTCGGTCAACCTGACATAATCCAAAATTTTACATACTTCACCCGATCCGACCCGACCGATCCAAAAATATATACTCTCCCGTCTGCACTCAACCCAAATCTGACCCGACTTGACCCAGAGCCGAAATAATAAAAAATATGATTTAATTGAAAATATATAGATATGTTATTTTAATTATTCTTAAATATATAAAGTAAAATTATTTTTTTCCGGGTAGGGTCGGGTCGGGTATTTTTCACCAAAAACTCGAATTCGACCTGACCGACCCGAACATCACATTTAACAAACCCAACCAGACTCTAACCCTAAATTAAAAAATTCAATCCGATCGGATCGAGTCGGAACCCGTCGAGTTCGGGTCCATGCCCATCCGTAGTCTCATCCTAACTCCTAAGCTTAATGGAGCTACCAGTTACCCACTTACAGAGGCCCATGGGTGGTTTGGTAGTTACTTGACAGTCCAACCCATGGAGTAGGAATTTCAATACCTGAGGCTGAGATGACATCCCTTTCAGATGATTGTATGGATTCGACTACCGGGTCTTCCTTACAGGTATTATACGAAGTTTCTTTTCCAATTGCTTGCATCTGAATTTGAAAAAGTCATCAAGGTTGATTACAATACTAATGTTGGAGAACAAAGAAAGTTTGCCAGGTTTTGCGGTGGTTGTGGACCTGAACAACCACTGCTCCCATGCACTGCCATCGACGTTTTGTACAACAATTGGAATATGAAGGACTAAACATATTGTTATGAATGTCGGGTATATGGGTATTCCAGGATTTGTGTGGTGTTAAAGCAGACGTCCTTGATAACCCGGAGGATAAATCCCCCCGCGAAGAATCAATAATGAACCTAACTGGGGCAAATGAACTATGGCCATGATGGTAGCACCTAGTCGCAGGAGGCCCTCGGAAAACTCAGTATGCAAATGTTGTCGTGCATGGAGAAAACACTCAAATCCTCTCGATATGATGTTTTAGCTGAGGTTGTAGGGACGGTAATGCTAAAAGTATCAATCCTTTAGGATATGACCGTGGCCTTGATGGCTATTGTTAAGTAGTTAGATGAAGTTGTTGAAAAGTGGTTAGGTAATCTGTTACGCCTCACTTTGTGAAAATATGAATTATAAAAAATGTTTACCTTTGTATTCAATTCACGCGAATAATACATGAACTCCTTACTCTCACTATGGTTGTTCAGTAATTTCAATATAGTATCTCTCACTAAACGTTCCTGAGCTGTTTTGTTTTTCTTTTCTCGCTTGTGCTGCTTATTCTTCTTGCTTCAATGGAGTTCTCTGCGACTACTGAAAAATCTTTTACAAACAAGAAGGTGGATATGATTCTTGATGAGATGAACTTCTAGTTGTGGAAGCAGCAAGTTTTACTTACAATTGACAGTCATCGGCTTGAGCGTATGTTGACTGGTTCGTTGCAAGTTGCAACCTCTGCCTGAAACCGTCGTCGATGCAAATGGTGACACGGTTCCTAATGACTTGTATGAAGACTTTGTTGCCCAAGACAATGCCCTTGCCTCTTGGCTACTATCAACGATCAGCCCTCATTTGCTCTCTTAGTTCGTCAGAACAGAAACAACGACGGCCGTTTAGAGCACGACCCTTCAATTTTGTGCAAATCGATCCACCGCCGCAGTAATTAGCATACACCACTAGCTTCAATCAATCAAGAAATAGAGTGATAGTACGAGGACCTATCTCACTCGTGTAGAGGAGGTGTGTGATGTGTTGGTTTCGTGTGATAGTGCGATAGGACAAAGTTCCCACAAATAATTTTTTAAGCATTTTGAAAGGTCTCCCCAAGGAGTATCAGTCGTTTGTGGCAATTATAACCACCATTAAAGAGTCTTTGTCCCTTGACAGAATCTATTCCAGGTTGATTGATTCAAAAACCCAGCTAGTTGGGTTCAATGTTCTAGAAGAATCCTTGCCAATGAGTGCCGACCTGGCTCATGCGAATCCTGGAACAAAGTCAACCAGTCATGGTTACCATGATTGTCAAAACACTCAACACGAGTCTAGCTCCGGTGGTCGAACTGGTGGGAAAGAGCGTGGTCATCCTCGGTTTCTATGCCAACTCTGTGGTAAAAATGGCTATTTGGTTGTTGTATTGTTGGTATCGTTTCGATCAGACCTTCTTTGGGAATCCTTTTCATCATAGTAATTCCAAGGATGGCTCAGGTAGTTCTAGCTATTCCAGTCTTGAGGCAGGCTCTGTTAATAGTGAAAGTTGCTCATGTTGCGCTAAAGGTCGAGCCGAAGTTCAGGTGTGGTATCAGTTGCAGCCTCAAGCTCATGTTACTACAGCTGCTCATCTTGTGACTCCTGATGTAATGAGTTCTCAGGCCCAAGTAACTTGTTGGGTAATATTGTTTCTCTAACTGTTAATGTTACTGGTAGTTCTGTGCTATGCTCATCTTATCAAGTCTTGATGTGAATTATTTACTGCATGTTCCCAAGATAACAAAAAACCTTCTTTCGGTCTCAAAGCTTGTTAGAGACAATATGTTTTTTGAGTTTCATGCTTCTCACTGTTGTGTTCGAGATAAGACTGTGGTGCAGCTCTGCTATGAGAAAAAGAAAGGGATGGCCTCTACTCCTTAGCTTGAATGCAACAACAGATATGTGATCAAGATGAAAACAATATGTTTGCTTCAAATACATGTATGAACTTTGTCATAGACGCATAGGACATCATACCACGGAACCCTAGAGCAAGTGTGAAAATAATCAATGTAAATGTTAAAAAAATATGAATAAACTTTGTGTTGCTTGCTACATAAAGCCATAAATTGCCTTTTCAATTGGTGATCATTGATTTATGAAGTCCCTCTCATGTTCTAACAGATTTCGTTATTATGCGAGTTTGTAGATGCATGCACAGACCACTCATGGCTACATTTGCTAAAGGATAAGTCATAAGCAATCTATATCTTTCATCTCTTCCGCAGCTTGTCATTACTCAGTTTGGAACACAAATTATGGTTGTCAAGAGGGACTAGGGAGGGGATTTTAGAAGCTTGTCTCGTGAGCTAGGGGTGAGCA